TAATACGAATAACAACAACAACAATAATAAAAACAATAACAATAATAAACGATTTCCGCCATACATACAAAAAGAAAGAAAAAAAAATAATAATACGGAATAATAACAACAACAATGATAAAAACAATAACATAATAAACGATTTCGCCATACATACAAAAAGAAAAAAAAAAATAATAATACGAATAACAACAACAACAATGATAAAAACAATAACAATAATAAACGATTTCCGCCATACAAAAGAAAAAGAAAAAAAAAATAATAATACGAATAAATAACAACAACAATGATAAAAACAATAGCAATAAATAAACGATTTCCGCCATACATACAAAAAGAAAAAGAAAAAAAAAATAATAATACGAATAACAACAACAACAATGATAAAAACAATAACAATAATAAACGATTTCCGCCATACATACAAAAAGAAAAAAAAAAAAAAGAATAATACGAATAACAACAACAACAATGAATAAAAAACAATAACAATAAATAAACGATTTCCGCCATACATACAAAAGAAAAAAAAAACAATAATAATACGAAATAACAACAACAATGACAAAAAAAACAATAAAACAATAATAAACGATTTCCGCCATACATACAAAAAAAAAAGAAAAAAAAAATAATACGAATAACAACAACAACAATGATAAAAAACAATAACAATAATAAACGATTTCCGCCATACATACAAAAGAAAAAGAATAATAATACGAATAAACAACAACATAGATAAAACAATAACAAAAATAACGATTTCCGCCCATACATGATACAAAAGAAAAAGAAAAAAAAAAAAAAAAAGAAAAAACAACAACTTGACCCAACCAGTTCCCGATGCGCATTTCCTTCCGTCGCTTGTCTTGAAGTTGGTATGATCGCCTTCTACTTCGCGGATGTTCCCAAGGCCAGATTTAAGCGGCCGAAGGAAGGGAAGAAGAAGAAGAACAAGAGAAGAGAAAGAAAAGGAAGATGAGGAGAAGTATAGAAGAGAAAGAGAAATTAGAGGCAGGAAGAAGAGTTGAAGAAGATGGAGAAGAGAAAAAGAAGAACAAAGAAGAAGAAGAAAAGAGAGAGAAACGTAAGACGAGGAGAAGATGAGACGAGAGAAAAGAAAACTAAGAGGAGGAAGAAGAAAGTAGAAGATGCATGGAAAAGAGAAAGAAGAAGAAGCATAGAGAAAAGAAAAAGAAAGAGGATAAGAAGATGAACGAATAAAAAGGAGAAATAATAATATTAAAGATGAAGAAGAAAAAAAATGAGCAAAGAAGGAAGAAAAAGAGGGAAGAAAAGTAGCGCAAGAGACAGGAGGAGGAATGAAAAAAAAAAATACAAATAGAAAAAAGAAAGAAAAAAGAAAACATCGTAAAAAGAAAGACAGAAAATTAAGAACAACATCAAAGCACAGACTAAGAACGAAAGAAAGAAATGAAGACAAAGGAGAGAAGACAGGAAATGAAGAAGAAAAAGAGAAAAAGAAAGAAGAAAGTAAAAGAAAAGATGAAAAAGAAAAGAAGAGAGAAAAAAACGCCCCTGCACTCCAAGCAGATACCTCATTCATTCTTCCTCCCCCCCCCCCCCAAAAAAAAAAAAAAAAAAAAAAAAAAAAAAAAAAAAAAAACGAAATCATTTCGGGCCCGCTGCTGCTTCAGAAACCTCGCCCAAGACGAGACCGCAAACCCACCACCTCCGCGGCTTCCGTGGGCGTCCACAGACCCCTCGAAACCACTGAGCCCGCACACGCTCCCCCTCTGAATGACCTGTTTGTCTATTACAACCCCCGCCTATGACACCCGAGCGCAGTTGTTAAGGGTTATGGCCTTGTGGTTGTATTCTTAAGGGAAGATATAAATGCCGATGATACAGAGGAAGTCTAAATAAACAAAAAATATTTAAAAAAAACGAAGTAAACAATAACTATTTAATAAACGAAAGTAAACAAAGCCTGTTGTGGTTGTATTAAAGGGAATAAAGATGCTGATGATTGACCCTGATTGGAAGAGGGCCTCTCAACTTAAACAACACGATACTGCCAATAAACGAGAAATAAACAAAATATTCAATCAATCGAAAGTAAGCAAAAATAAGTCAATAAACGAAAATTAAAACAACAACTCATATAAACGAAAATGAAAACAAACATATCCCCATAACCGAAATAAACCAAATTAATCAAGTCAAACGAAAGAAATAAACCCCGCCCCAAAAATATCCCAATAAATCGACAAATACACAAAAAGTTTAATAGACAAAAATAAACAAAATATACCTATAAAAGAAATATAAAACAAATAGCTTACTAAAACGAAAATAAACACAAATATTAATAACGAAAATTTAACAAAATATCATATAAACGAACAAACAAAATATTTAAAAAGAAAATAAACAAAATATACAAATTAAAACGAAAATAACAAAATATTAATAACAATAATAAAATAAACAAAAATAATCCAATAAAACGAAAGATAACCAAAATTATACAAAAAAGAAATAAACAAATATTAATAAACGAAAATAAACAAAAACATCCAATAAACGAAAAAAAAACAAAATAATTAATAAACGAAAATAAACAAATATCCAATAAACGAAAACCAAACAAAAATTATCTCAATAAAAGAAAACAAACAAAATATTTAATAAACGAAAATAAACAAAATATCCAATAAACGAAAATAAACAAATTAAAATAAACAAAGAAACAAAATATCCAAAACAAAAATAAACAAAATATCCAAAACGAAAATAAACATCCAATAAACGAAAATAAACAAAATAACTAGTGTAATAACAAACTGGTGTGAGAATATGCACACGGTAAGTAAGCACTCACGGAGATGGGAAATCAAATCGTAAACCAATATATCTGCATCTGTACACGCAAAGGCACCAAAGACAATAAAAACAAACAAACAAGCAAACAAATCACACACGCGACACACACACATACACACGCCGTAACGACTCTCCCATGTACGTTCGGAGGCATCTAGTTATCTATCTATCTATCTATCTATCTATCTATCTATCTATCTAGTCTAATCTATCTATCTATCTATCTATCTATCTATCTATCTATCTATATATGTCTAAGACATATATATGTCTAAGGACATATAAGGAAATATGGAAGGCCATACACCCTACCGCGTTGATACTATGGTAGAAAAAGCCACCATGCAATTATATCGTCCGTGCATTGTGTTTTTTTTTCTTCCATGGGGAATGCACAACTAGAATCGACAAAAACATCTCTTCTGTTTGATGTAAGTCTTCCAAATACACAAAAGGAAAAAAAAAGCAAAAAAAAAAAGAAAAAGAAAAGAACACACGTCACGAATCTAGATAAATATGAACGATTAAATAAAAAGTGATAAAACGGAATACTGAATAAAATAAAAAGTGTTGTAAAACGGAATAACTGAATAAAATATAACGTGAATAAAACGGAATAACTGAATAATATAAAAAGTGAATAAAGCAGAATACCTGACAAAAAATAAAAACAAATAAAAGCAATCAATAAACAAACCCCTTTTCGAGCCTAATGGTCGCCACGCCCCCCTCCCCCCCCGCCGCCCCCCCCGTTACCCGCCTCCGGGCACCACCCACCTCACAAGGCACTCACAACACCGCCCAGAACTAATCACACTTCCCCAGGTAATGAGAATCCAATTAGCACGCCCAGGTAATCGGACTCTCCCATTTGGACTCCCTCGCGTGACGTCATCGTTCGCCCCCGAAACGAAGCGGCCGCAAGGAGGAGGTGTCTTAAAAGGGGGCGCCCGCGAACCCCGATAGAGAGAACGGGGATTCCTACGCCACGCCATGGCTATGCATGGAGGGCAGGCATGGACCCCCCCCACCCCCCTCTCTCTCTGTCTCTCTGTCTTCTCTCTCGTTCTCTCTCTCTCTCTCTCTCTCTCTCTTCTCTCTCTCTCTCTCTCTCTCAGCACACACACACACACACACATACACACAACACATACACACACACACACACACACACACACATATATATATATAATATATATTATATAATATATTATATATTATATATATATAATATACAATATACATATATAAATACATATATAAATACATATATAAATCATATTTACAATAGTTATAATGTATGTGTGTGTGTGTTGTGTGTGTGTGTGTGTGTGTGTGTGTGTGTGTGTGTGTAATATGTGTGTGTGTGTGTGTGTGGTGGTGTGTGGTGTGTGTTGTGTGTAGTATATATATATATTATATATATATATATATATAATATAATATAATATATATATATATATGTATATGTATATGGTATATGTATATGTATTATGTATATGTATATGTTATATGTATGTATATGTAATGTATATGTATATGTATATGTATATGTTATATGTATATATAATATTATATATAGTATATATATATAATTATTATATGTATGTATGTATGTATGTATGTATGTATGTATGTATGTATGTATGTATGTATGATGCTGTATGTATGGTGCATGTATGTTGTATGTAGATATTATGTATGTCGGTAATGTGTGTGTTGTGTGTGTGTGTGTGTGTGTGTGTGTGTAGTGTGTGGTTATACTGTTTGTTTGTGTGGTGGTTGTGTGTGTGTGTGTGTGTGTGTGTGTGTGTGTGTGTGTAGATGTAGATATGGTAGATGTATAGATATTATATATACTATAATATATAGGTTAATATATATATATATATATATATATATATAATATATCATGTATATATCATATTTTTTTCTATTATATTATATCACATTGTTCTTTCTTTTTAATCCCCCCCCCCCCCCCCCCCCAACCCACCCCCACAGCGCCCCCTACCTCCATCCGCGACACACTCCAAACACGGCAAAGTGTAAACAAACAAACCAGGCATAAGAATCGACGAGAGCCAGCTGTCAACCATGGACGTGACAGCCAGCCCCCCCCCCCCCCCCAACCCACGGCCTGTGAG